GTGATCCACCCGCCTCGGCCTCCCAAAGTGCTGGGATTACAGGCTTGAGCCACCGCGCCCGGCCCAGTGACACTTCTTAAAGAGAGTGTCCTGGGGTGTGAGGTATGCTTGTTGGCGAGGTTGGTGCCGAGTCACCTGCCTCCCCAGAAGTGCCCGGGGTGGGAGCCAATCAGTGTCAAATGTGCCTTACTCCCTGGTCACTGGGTGACTGAGGGGTGTCAGGGCCCTGTTCTCCTGTCCTAGTCTCTTGGTGAATGGGAGGTATCAGTCCTCTCTTCCCTGGTCCTAGGATTCTGCAACTCAGGCCACGTTTTGCACACGTGGAAACTGAGGCCCAAGTAGGAGAAGCACCTGTGCTGAGTGGAGCTGGGATTCAGGTGTTCTCTGCTGAGGGGGCTGGGACCCGGGCGTTCTGTGCTGAGGGTGCTGGAACCAGGTGCTCTGGGTCCACGTGGGCAAGGGCCGAGAGGGCCCAGAGTGGTACAGGCCGGTGTACTCTGTCCACAGAGGAGCCCAAGGTGGGCATCAAGACCATCAAGGTGTACTGCCAGCGCATGCAGGAGGAGAACATCACCCGGGCCCTCATCGTGGTGCAGCAGGGGATGACGCCCTCCGCCAAGCAGGTGGGCGCCCCACCAGCCTCTCACCCTCCCCAGCCTCCCCTGGGCGGTGCCAGCAGGTGGCCCACATGCCTTGGGCCACGCCAGCCAGGGTGCCCTGGAGGATGTGGCTGATGTCCGGCCAGCCCCGACTGTTTCCCACCCTGTCCATGGGCCACAGTGCTGAACCCCAGCCCCATCCCAGGCAGCCGCCATCCTTCCCTGGCCCTCAGGAGGGCATCAGAGCAGAGGGCACCGTGCCTCTCTCTCCAGCTCCTGTGGGCTCCAGTCTTTGGCCTGGTGTGCCCTCCAGGACCCAGAGACTCTTTGTCTTGAGCTGATGTCCAGGGGGATGTGCTGAGGAGGCCTGGCACGGGTTCCCCAGGGCCCATCGTGTTCCCCATCTGTCTGTTGGACACTCCTGAGCCTCCATGTCCCGTCTGTCGGGCACCGTGAGCCAGGCTGCCGCACTGGGACAGGCAGTCGGTGGAGCAGCTTGGTCTCTGGCCCACAGGGCTTTGGGTTCACGAAGCCACATAAAGCAGCGCCTGTGTATTGGGCAGAGGTCGCTGTGCCCACCCTGAGGCCTGCCCATGGAAGCGTCTGATGGGTGGAAACAGCCTCGTCACTGCTCGTGACAGGAGGCCCTTGGGATGAGCGGAGAGGCCGGGGAGGGGTGGGCTCTTGAGGGCCCCTGGGCTGGCGGTGGGGATTCTGATGTACGACATGGGTGTGTTGTGGAGGCACATGAGTAAGCCGCCTGTAGCCTGAGGCAGGAAATGGAGTTGGGGTTGTCAGGGCTCCTCCTGGCCGTGTCTGAGTCTCTCTCTCTTGCAGTCCCTGGTTGACATGGCGCCCAAGTACATCCTGGAGCAGTTTCTGCAGCAGGAGCTGCTCATCAACATCACAGAGCACGAGGTGGGTGCCCTGCCCCGGAGCCCCACCTGTTGGGGTACGGAGATACAGGATTTGCAGGTGACCTCCTAGGAAGATGTGGGATACAGGGCCCAGGGGCTGGCGCTCCTGCTAGCGTGTGGAAGGCAGGGTCCTCAAAGGGTGGCCCTGCAGCCGAACCTGAGAACTTCCTGGAAATGCAGGCTCCCGCTGGGCTCGGTGACTCAGGCCTGTAATCCCAGCACTTGGGGCGGCCGAGGTGGGTGGATCACAAGGTCAGGAGTTCAAGACCAGCCTGGCCAAGATGGTGAAATCTCATTTCTACTAAAAATACAAAAAATTAGCTGGGCGTGGTGGCACACACCTGTAATCTCAGCTCCTCTCGAAGCTGAGGCAGAGAATTGCTTGAACCCGAGAGGAGGAGGTTGCAGTGAGCTGAGGTCTCTCCACTGCACTCCAGCCTGGGGGACAGAGCAGAGCTCTGTCTCAGGGAAAAAAAAGAAAACGCAGGGTCCCAGGCCTGCCCCGGCCTATGGAACAGGGACTTTGGTGGGTGCAGAGGGACCCTAGTGCCACCGACCCAGCAGGAGTCTCAGAAGGAGGTGACAGTGCCCCAGCTCATCTACTTCAGAAGCTCCAGGAGCTGTGGCCCTGTAGACTTCACCCCTGCTTGTGGAGCTGGGGTGGGGTGGGGTGGGGCGGGGCGGGGCGGGGCGGGGCGGGGCGGGGCAGGGCAGGGCAGGCTCCCTGAGTGCCGGGTTGGTAGCTCAGGGGTGGTGGTAGTGCCTGGGAGCCCCATGGGGTCTGGCCCAGCCCTTGGTGATGTCTGCTGGCCTTCTCTCTCCACAGCTGGTCCCTGAGCACGTCGTCATGACCAAGGAGGAAGTGACGGAGCTGCTGGCCCGATAGTATCCTTTCCAGCCCCGCCGGCCTCTGCCCCACATGTGCCTCTGGATTTCCACATCCCCCTCCCCCTCCCCGGCCCTACCTGGCATTTTCCTAACCCTGCTTCCCAGTAAGCTCCGTGAGAACCAGCTGCCCAGGATCCAGGCGGGGGACCCCGTGGCTCGATACTTCGGGATAAAGCGTGGACAGGTAAGCCTTCAGGAGAAGAGGCCCTGGGGCGGCCCTGTGCTGACCACTGGTCTGCAGGGGCTTCTGTCCCCTCCAACCGCCCCTCCTCCTCGACACTGGGCCCAGAGAAGAGCATGACCCCAGGGTCAGCATCTCGGGCGCCTGCTGGCCCTCCCCAGCTGGTGTGCTGCCCGCCTACTGTCTGGTGCCCTCAGCCCCTGCTCTCCTGCCTCCGCAGGTGGTGAAGATCATCCGGCCCAGCGAGACGGCCGGCAGGTACATCACCTACCGGCTGGTGCAGTAGCTGCCGCCCTGACAGGTACCGGCTGTGGGGTTAGATATGGGGGTGTTGTTCCCTCTGTTGGTGTGCGGGCGTGTTCTGGCTTTGTCCCTGCAGCAGGCCCCACCCAGTGCTGGGCCATCAGGGCACCCCAGTCCCCACCTGGCTGCAGCTCCTGGGGCCCTGTTCCTGGCAGGGAGAGTCATGGTACTGTGTCCGCCCACTGCTGACCCGCCATAGCAGCAGGAGACTCCCCTGCGTGGCAGGTGTACGGTGGGACTTTCCAGAATAGGGTTTAGAAACCTGCCCAGAGACCCCAGTGGTCAGACAGGAGGTGGCTTCGAGCCAACTCTTCCCTCAGTGGGCACATAGGGAGGGACTGGCCTGAGTCCCAGGAGCGGGACAGCATCTGCCCATGTTGAGGGCCTCCCAGCTGCCCGACCCACACCAGAGGTGTTGCTTGGGCAGGCCGCTGCACTTTGTACTCAGCCCAGGGGTGGGGCTTAGCTAGGTCTGACTTTGGTCCGGTTCCTTTAAAGTCAGAGTCACTGCCCACACCTGTGTGACACCCCGCTCCCGGGCCGCCCTGCGGCCTGGGCCTCCCGCACCCCCTCATGCTCAGCAGTGGGCCTCAGGCTGTCCTGGACAGACCGGATCTGCCCCCCTCCTGAAACCACCTTCCTCCCCTTTCCTAGCCCCTAGAGGCGGCCACGCGGACAGTGACCTGGTCACCTGCAGGAGGAAGCCTCTGCTGGAGTCCAGCCCCCCCAGCGCTTTGGGCTGCTGCTCCTCTGGACTCCCCAAGGCAGGCAGCCCCCACCCGAATTCTCCCATCCTGGGCTGAGGCTTCCTGTGGATTTGTGCCTGATGCGGCCTCAGGAGGGACCAGACCCCCCAGGGAGGTCACTTGGTGCCCCGGGTCTGCGCCTAGACTGTGCAGAGTCCCCTGGGTTGGGGGCTTAGGGTCTGTCTCCCACTGGGCGCTCAGCCTCCCACCCTTCATCTTCCCTCCCTCAGCTCCTTACTGGGCCTGTGGCAGTGACCTTTCTCTTCCTCACACCTCCCTACTGGGGGGCCCTCTGTGTCCTCTCCCTGGTCCCTTTTGCCAAGGTTGCAGCTGCCTCAGAGAACAGACCTGATTAGAAACTTTATTCCAGCAAAATAAACGTGCGTGAGTTAACTCCAGTCGCTCGGAGACCCCCGTGTACCTAAGCCCCAGGTGGCCAGACCTGGGTTCCTGGAAAAGGGAGTCCAGGGCCTGTGTTCAGACCCTGCTGTAACACACCCTTGACACCTCTCTAAGCCCCAGCCTCCGCCCCATCCGCGGCTCCCAGAATGGCTTCTGGATGCCCAGTCCCTGCAACACACCTGTGAGGAGGGCAGGGTCTCCGTCCCTCATCCACACAGCCCCGTGGGCACCACCAAGGCCACGGCGACTTCACAGGACAGCAGTGATCCCCCAGCTCTGCTGAGCCAGGCCTGCCTGGGTGCAAAGGCGTGCAGGGCCCACTCCACACACAGCCCCAAGACCGCATGCCCCTGGAAGCAGGCGCCTGCTGGCACGACATCCGAGTCCAGACGCACTCGGCAGCATCCCCAGGATGGCGTAGCTGAGCCAAGCCACGGGGCCAGGACACTGGAGGTGGAGGGACAGGAGCACGTGGGAGCAGCCGCCACCCGTGGTCCTGGCCCCACCCCAGCTCAGACGAACTCTGGCCGCCTCTCCCTGCAGGAGCCCAGTGCGATCCGCCCACCACGGAGCCTCATGGCAGGCAGTGGGGCCTGCAGCGCGTTGTTGGACTGGTTGGTGTTGAACCCCGAGAGCTGCAGAGCTGGGACCCTGTCGTCCCCATTCCCATCCTCCCTGGCCACGGCCTCCAGCTGTTCTTCGCTACCACTGTGGCTGCCAGAAGCCTCCTCCAGGCTGGCCTCCTGCTGGTGCTGCTCCAGGAAGCTAAGGCGGCGCAGGGCACTGGCCTCCGATGAGGACAGCAGCTCGGAGGCCTCCTCCAGGTCCGAGTCTGAGTCGTTGGACACAACTCGGGATTCTGAGAAAGGGAGATGGAGGGAGAGACAAGGGCAGAGGGAGAGACAAGGGCAGAGGGAGAGACAAGGGCAGAGGGAGAGACAAGGGCAGAGGGAGAGACAAGGGCAGGGGCAGAGACGAGGGCAGGGCGGGGGAGGGCGGGGGGTGGGGGGAGAGAGCAGAGGAAGGAGGGGAGTGTTGATATGGTCTGGCTCTGTGTCCGACCCAAGTCTCATCTTGGAGCGCCCATAATTCCCACCTGGTGGGAGATGGTTGAATCATGGGGCAGGTCCTTCCCGTGCTGTTCTCATGATAGTGGGTAAGTCTCACAAGATCTTGTAGTTTTTAAAAACTGGAGCTGGGCGCGGTGGCTCATGCTGGACATCCAGCACTTTGGGAGGCTGAGGTGGGTGGATTGCCAGGTCAGGAAATCAAGTAAAACCCTGTCTCTACTAAAAATACAAGAACTAGGCATGGTAGAACTTGCCTGCAATCGCAGCTACTCAGGAGACAGGCAAATTGCTTGAACCTGGGAAGTGGAGGTTGGAGTGAGCCGAGGTCACACCATTGCACTCCAGCCTGGAGACAGAGCTAGTCTCCATCTCGAAAAGAGTTTCCCGGCGTGGTGCAGTGGCTCACACCTATAATCCTAGAGTTTTGGAAGGCCGAGGCGGACAGATCGCGAGGTCAGGAGTTTGAGACCAGTCTGGCCAACATGCTGAAACCCCACCTCTCCCAAAAATGCAAAAATTAGTTGGGTGTGGCCAGGTGTGGTGGCTTACGCTTGTAATCCCAGCACTTTGGCAGATGACCCGAGGTCGGGAGTTTGAAACCAGCCTGGCCAACCCTCTCTACTAAAAATACAAAAATTAGGCGGGGCACTGTGGTTCATGCCTGTAATCCCAGCACTTCGTGAGGGCAGGGTGGGCGGATCACAAGGTCAGGAGATTGAGACCATCCTGGACAACTTGGTGAAACCCCATCACTAAAATACACACACACACACACAGCCACACAGCCGTCCATGGTGGTGTGGGCCTCAGTCCCAGCTGTTCCAGAGGCTGAGGCAGGGAAATTGAACAGGTTGTAGTGAGCCGAGATTACACCACCGCACTCCAGCCTGGAGACAGAGGGAGACCGTCTAGTTGAACATGGGGGCAGCACCTGTAATCCCAGCTACTGGGGAGGCTGAGGCAGGAGAATCGTGGGGCAGAGATCGAGCCACTGCCCTCTAGTCTGGGCAACGAGCCAGACTACGGGGGGGGGGGGCGGGGGGGGAAGTGTCCTGGCACAGGCTGACTGCCGCCTTCCCTGCAAGATGTGACTTGCTCCTCCTTGCCTTCCATCATGTATTTTTGAGGCCTCCCCAATTACATGGAACTGCGAGTCCATTAAACATCTCTCGTAAATTGCCCAGTTTCAGCTGTGTCTTTATCAGCAGCGTGAAAACTAAAACAGGTGCCTTGTAACTAGAGGCAGCACCAGGGCCGGCCACCTCTGACAAGGGATGCCAGCCCCACCTGGGTCAAATCCCCAGCCCCGGGCCCTTCCCTAGAAAATGAGGCTCCCTTGGGAAAGGCACTTAACCCGGCCGGTGGCTGGTGCACCTGGAGCCTCAAACGGGCATCAGCCCCGTGTTCACATTGCTGGTTTCTGAGTATGGGGTAGGCGCCTCAAAAGGCACTGCCTTGTGTGAGTGTTTGCAGGAGGTTAAAGGAAAACAAATCGCTCACAAGTGTGGACTCCCTAGCAGACAAAATCCGCAACGTGTACACAACTGGGTCATGGCACCTGTGCCCATGGGTGCCACACCAGCCTCCTTTGGGGCTGCTCGGGCACCCACACACTCACCTCCGGCCCCGTCTTCCGCTGCCTCTGGGAGGGGGTAGACCATCCCCTCGCCTGCCTCCAGATACTGCACCTGGACGACCACCTCAGCCCGCTGATTGGACGGCTCGTCCTGCAAGGGCAGACCAGAAATTAGGGAGAGGACCGGGCTCCATGTTTCGTGTTGTAAATTAATAAGCACACACAGCCCCTAACAACTACTGACACCTGCTGCTGCCCAGGCTGTAACCACACTGGCCGTTCCCAGAAGGGGAACGTCCGCTCTTCTTAAGAGCTGTCTCCTCTCCCCAGCCCATCTGGGGTTTCTCCCGAGAGCTCCTTCAACAGCAGCACGGGACGGGAAGGCTGCACTCAACATAGACATTGTCAGAGCTTCAGACGCCGCTGTCCCGAGGTTGCACCCCAGGTGGTCTGTCCTCAGCCAAAAGGAAACTGCAGCTCCTAACACCCAGAGATACTGGAAGGTGGATTAAAAAATCCAATAGCTAGGCTGGGCACAGTGGCTCAAACCTGTAATCCCAGCACTTTGGGAGGCCAAGGAGGGGGTATCACTTGAGGTCAGAAGTTCAAGACCAGCCTGGCCAACAAAGTGAAACCCCCTCTCTACTAAAAATAGAAAAATAAGCTGGGTGGAGTAGTGAGAGCCTGTATTCCCAGGTACTCAGACTGAGGTAAGAGATCACACCACTGCACTCCAGCCTGGGCGACAGGGCAATACTCCATCTCCAAAAAACAAAACGAAACAAAAAAATACGAGGACCTGAAATCAGGAGAAGGGATGGAGATGTCGCTAAGAAATTAAAGTAACTCCAAGAGGCTGGGTGCAGTGGTTCACGCCTGTAATCCCAGCACTTTGGGAGGTGAAGGCAGGAGGATCCCTTGAGCCCAGGAGTTCATCACCAGCCTGGACAACACAGTGAGAGACCTGGTCTCTCCAAAGAAATAAATAAATCACAAAAATTAGCCAGGTGCGGTAGTGCAGCACACCTGTGGTCCCAGCTACTTGAGAAGCTGGACCAGGAGGATCACCTGAGCCCAGGAGTTGGAGGCTGCAGTGAGCCGTGACGGCACCATCGCGCTACGGCCTGGGCCACAGAGCAAAACCAGTTTCAAAGAAGCTCGAGAAAGAAAGAAAACAAATAGAACTCGTAAAAAGGAAAATCTGAATCGGGGAACTGATGCCACAGCAGAGTGCAGTGGTGGCTCCGGAGGGCTGTGGACACCTGGGCCAGTGTAGATAGAGCTTGTGGCTCGAGGATGAGGCCTGATGCCAGCTCCTATGGAGAGTGGAGGGGCCAACGCAGGGCCTTTGCACCTCCGCTGGAGTCAATGCAGACCTCACCCAGTTCTTAAAAACATAAAAAGACACAGGCCTCCAAACTATCTTCTTGTGGTTCCTTGGGCCTCATCCCACAACCAGTGTCCCCAGGAGTGCGCCCCCGCCCTCCCGGCCCCGAGTGGACAGCCCTGGTCAGACCCACACCCTCACCTGGCACTCAGGGGTCTCCTCCGACTCATCCTCGAAGACCAGGCCATAGTGCACGATGAGGGTCTCGATGACACGGGCCTGGTGGGGGTAGTCCACCAGGGAAGAGAGGGACACGGTGGCCTCAGTGGGCCGTGGCCGAAGCAGTGTGGGCCCGAACACGATGCCCAGGTTCCCGGGGGTCATCTTGTTCTCCTGCTCCACCTCCACGATCCTGCAGGGCGGGCAGGGCCAGGTGCTGAGCAGCTCCCGGGACCCCGCACCCTCCACCCCGTGCGCCGAGCCTCACCTGCGTAGGTGCCGCAGCAGGTACTGCAGCGAGGCCCGGTTATCGGGCGGCAGGTCCCGCAGGAGCTCCCGCAACCGACCTGCCATGGCCACCACCGCTGCGTCGCTCTCCGAGCCATCCTGCCGGCCCCGGGTCGCCGCCTTGGCCTCGGCCTCCGCCTTCAGGCTGTCCTTGGCCAGCCCCACGAGCTCGTGGTAGAAGCGGAAAGAGATGAGCGGCTCCGGCAGCTGCGAGGAGCCAAGGGTCAGCTGGGGTTGACAGGCTGGCCCAGCCCTCCCGTGTGCCAGCCACGCTCCCACCCTCAGCCCCAGCCCCGCCCCCACCAAACACTGACAACGCTCCACGGAGCACAGGGTCCAGCCACGGCAGTGGGTTCCACGCAGTGCAGCGTCTGTCCCCTGTCCCAACCAGCATAAGTTCTGGCCCTCCTACCCGGGCCAAGCCCCATCCCAGCCCTTTCCTCGCACTGCCCACGCCCACCCTGCGCTGACGGTATCCCAACGAGCTCGTGCTCTATTCAGCATCGTCTGACCCTTTCCCCACCACCTGCGAAGTGCTGGTCCCGCTCCCAGCCCC